TTCGAGGGCAATACCTTGGCATTGTTTACGTGAGCACAAACATATTCCCAGCAAATATCTCGATTCTATGGTTTTATTGAACAAATGGAAACTGAGAACATGTATACAACGTGGCGAACGAACATCTGCATTCTTTTGCAGATTCATCAGTGCGCCTCCAAGTGGGGAAACAACTTCGAAAAATGGGGGCAAAACTATATTACACTTTACAAGTGGGAATAACTACAGTTTAGCTCTACCTACGGGCAGCCCATAATGAGGACCAAGAAAGCATAAATACAATGGGCCTTTACCCACTACAAATCCCTATGTTAATCAAACAAACATTATCGAGCAACTAGCATGAAGGCGGTTGCAGTTGTTTCAACCGACGTACAACCTGCTTCATTGTTGGCCTGGTAGAGAGGGAGTCAACCGTACACACAACTGCCATGTGTAAGACTTCTACCAAATCATCATGTGGACCTGCATCCCATAGCCCTGCTGTAAAGAACTCCTTGGCTCTGCCCTGCCGTAGGAGCATACATGCCCAAGCAACAATGTTGAAACCATTCCCGTATGATGAAAATGAAGGATCCAAAGCTTTCTTGTCTGAGAGTAATTCAAGAAGCACAACCCCATAACTATAAACATCGGCCTTATCTGAAACACGGCAAGTCATTGCATACTCCGGGGCAACATACCCGAAAGTCCCAGCCACACCTGTTGTAGCATGGGTTTCAGAGGTTCCCAATAGCCTGGCCAAACCAAAGTCGGATAGATAGGCGTTGAAATCATCATCTAACAGAATATTACTGGGCTTGACATCTCGATGAAGTACACGTGGTACACACTGATCATGAAGGTAGGCAAGTGCACGAGCTATGTCCAGAGCAATTTTGTGAAGTATCCTCCAATCCACTGCCCTTGTGGACCTTTCCTGGATAAACTTTTCCAAGTTACCACCTGGCAAATAATTATATATGAGGAACATTTCCGTTTCACTGGCATGATAACCAATCAAAGTGACAAGATTTGGATGGTGGAGTCTTCCAAGGGTTTTGATCTCTGCATGGAACTGTTGAATTCCCTGGAATCGTCCAACTGCAAGCTTTTTAATTGCCACCAGAACTCCGGGAGAGATCTCTGCCTTGTAAGTGGACCCAAAACCCCCATTGCCGATGCAATTACTTGCATTGAAGCTCCCAGTGGCCCGCACCACATTCTCAAATGTCAGGGGAACCCCAATATCTGTGAAGATTGTTACTTCCTTTCTTGCAGATCCCATTATTTTGGACTTTGGACTCCACTTTCTAGTGTAGATGAATAGGAAAATAAGAGCTAGTAGAACAGAAAAAATGGCTGATGCAGAGGCTATTGATGCTATCTCAATTGATGTGAAGCCACCACTCCGGTTCTTCTGATTTTGATCTGATGGAGAAATATAGCTTTGTACCTCGGAAGCCCTTCCTGGAGAATCTGGAGATGGCGATGCTAGGGAGAAAGCATGGCAAGGGTGTAGATACGGGTTTCCAAGAACACTGTTACATTTCATCAAATTGTTACTTGATGGCAGAGACCCAGACAAGTTATTGAAGGAGACATTAAAGATTGAGAGCAAAGTCACATTTGCCAAACCAGACGGAATCTGCCCGGAGAGTTTATTGTTATTGAGCAGAAGAGCAGTCAGATTTCTCAACCTCACAAGATCATTTGGTATCTCCCCAGAAAGCAAGTTTGATGAGAGATCCAGAACCTCTAAAGTTTGCAGCTTCCCTATGCTAGAAGGAATAGAACCAACTATTCTATTACCAGTCAAAGACAGATACTTCAAACCACTTATTTGGGTCAAACTTGATGGTATCTGGCCTCGCAAAAGGTTCCAACTCATGTCAAGATAAACAAGAGAAACTAATTCGCCAACACTTGGTGGAATGGTCCCAGCAATCTGATTCTTAGATGCATCCAGAAGCTTGAGTGATCTGCACATTGGACCCATATTTGCCGGAATCTGACCAGACATTCTATTATTGCTAACATTGACACTCATCATGTTCAATCCATCACAATTCTCAAACAAGATCCCTGGAAATGGGCCACTGAGCTTGTTGTCTCCAGCCAAAAATGTGTAAGCAGTTTGCTTTCCTAATCTTACTGGGGAAATAGGAAGGGACTGGAGATTACCAGTAAAGTTGTTGTCCCCGAAGTTATGAAAAACTGAGATTTCACCATTTCTTCCAAGTGACATAGTAGGACTTCCTGCCTTAGCTTTATATGCAAAAAATGATATATAGGCAGATGACGGGTCATAAATATTTAGGGGATACTCAATTGTGGAAGGAACAGGAGGGCAACTGCTGCTATAGAAACTGGGGATGGAACCTGACAATGCATTTCCACTAACATCAAAAACAGTCATACAAGGAACTCGAAGCTCCTCAAGAAGTTCACCATAGAGCCCATTGGAGCTCAAATCCAGATACTGCAGCTTATTGCAGCGACTGAACCCATGAGGGATTTCTCCTTTGAAGAAGTTGTGAGACAAATTGATCATTTCCAAGCTATCACAGGAATCCCAGTTGCTCAGCAACATGCCATCAAGGGTTGCGCTTGGTGCCCACAGCATCCTCAGTTTTGGAAGAGTCATGACATCTGCAGGAATACCCCCTTGAAAAAAATTGAAATCTTCATTCACAGAGCTCAAATGATCCAACAAACCGTTCCCTCTCGTACCATTAACATCCTGATACGGATCAAACATGTTCGAAAGCACAAGAACAGACAAAGCAGAGCAATTTCCAAGCTCAGGGGGTACCGGCCCACTAAGACTATTCCTTGACACATCCAACACTTCTAGCTTCCCAAGCATACCCAGTTCACGTGGAATAATTTCTTCAAACATATTTGAATACAACAACAATGTCCTCAAATTCCCACAATTACCTAAATTACTAGGAATCCCTCCAACCAAGAAATTCCCAGATAAATCTAAATGCTCAAGTTTCTCACAATTATATCCGAAATCCTCAGGCAGTGAGCCCCCAAGCTGATTCAACGACAAATACACACCCTTAAACCGACCAGCAAACCCTGGAACTGTCCCGTTAATAAGATTACCAGCTATATTCAAGATCTCCAAACCATCACAGCGAGAAAGTGAATCCGGTATCTCTCCTTCTATCCTGTTAAACCCTAAATTCAAAACCCTCAGGTTCCTTAACCCGGAAAATGAAACCGGCAACGACCCAGATACCAAATTACCCTCCAGATCAAGAACCTCTAACTTCTCCATGCCCCATATTTCACTCGGTATCAACCCGAGAAACCCATTAAAGGGCAATGATAAAACCCTAAGTTCACTTAACCTAGCAATCAAAGGCACCAACTTTCCCATTAAAATTCCCTTACTACCTTTACAATCTCTCCTAATCCCAAACCCGTACAGAGAAAGCTCAATAGAATCACCAGAACACAAAATAGCACCTCCACCTCCACTTTTCTTACCTCTGTAATTTCCATTTCCAGTGATATTAAGCGAAACGACACGCGAATTAGCATCACAGGACACGCCGTTCCAGTGACAGTGGTTGGTGCTGATCAGATTCCAGCCGGAGATAAGCCCTGAAGGATCAGAGACTGAGTTCTTGAACTGTAACAGCACAGATTTGTCAGAATCAAAAGAAGCGACGCCGTTTAGTGACAGAGAGAAGGCACAGAAGAGAGAGAAAAGCTTCAGTTTTGTGAAAGATTGCCACTTGATAACTGAAGAAAGAAAATAAGAGGAACCCATTTTAGAACCCTCAAAAGGGTCTCTAAAACACTGAAAGCCCCTCTCTTTCAGTTTTTGAAGTGAATGAATAGAGAGGCTTTTCTTTTTCTCTCTGTTTTCGAAAACCCTAACCCTAATTTCAGGGTCTTTCACTGATAGAGAACAAGTAAGAGGAAAGGCAAGAGTATAGATTAAACAATATTTGTGTTCTTTATTAAAACGCGTTTTTCGTTTCTTTTTCTTTAATTTCTTCATTTCCTTCTTCTCTCTCATTTCTTTCCTTTTCTTCTTTGGGCCAAACATCGTTCTAGCCCCCCTATTATCATGTAATTCTAGCAAACTAGTTCTTCAATTAAATCTTTTTTTCATGCCGTCTTAATCAAGTTCCCCCATCATCCATTTTCAATTAATTTTTGCCTGCCATGCTACAAAATGATTCTCGAGCCGGTCCTTTCATGATAATGTGATTAAGTTTTTTTAAGTTTTTATAATTATGAATTAGCACATCAGTTTATTTATATTTTAATTAATTTTTTAAAATTAAAACTAAATAAATTTTTAATTATTTTAAAATTTATAATACTCGAATTGATAATATCTATAAAGCAAATTTAGAATTTGACTAATTAAATTATATCTTTTAAGATTTTTTATTTTGTATAAATTTTGATGATTACCAACTTTAATAAAAATATTTAATTAAAATTCTTATGAGTTTGTTGTAACCTTTTGTAATAAAATTGAGATTTGTTTTTAATATTAGCTTAGTATTTTCAATAATCAAAAGATAACCTAGGATTTGTCATAGTTAACATTAAAGAACGACGACACATCATAATTTTTTTAAAAAAATTCTAAGATTTAATTGGAAAAAAAAAGTTCTAGCAACCATATAAAAAATGTAATGATAATGAGGGGACCAATTCGAGGCTCATCTTTGTAGCATGCCTCAAGAATTTATTTGATTTTGTTTACGAATGGAGGTTTGTAGCAGAGGGAAGGGAGGTGGGGTCCAAGGGGGAGTAGCTGGGTTCCACAGGTGGTCAATGAATGCCAGCAGCCCCGTCAATTTAAGGACTCACGGTGGTTGGCTTGGCCTCCCCCTGTATCGTTCACTAAAAAGAAATATTAAAATTATAAAAAAGAAAAAAAAAGATTCCTTAAGGTTGAAAACGTGGCTGTGGATAAAGGATTCCACGTGGGGTGTCCTTCCAGAAGGTGAGGATGGGGGCTACCTGCCCCCCTCTTTTGCTCAGCTCCAGTTCACGTGGTCCAGAATAACCACGATTAGTCGTTTAAAGCGAAAGATGGTGAGTCCAACGCGCCGTCGTTTGCTTTGCTTCATAAACACTGCAGAGAATGTGCTGTCGTTATCCCGTGATCCGTTATCCTCTGTTTGCCTTGGCTGGCCTGGCCTACCCCTATAAAGGCTTGAAGCAAAGGGAACAAGTATCTTTATTGGGCTACCAACAAACATACCTTTATTAGAAAAGCAGATTATTACACCGCCTGCTTTATTCTATTTTAATTATAATAATAATCCCATCCCCTGTGGGTTCGTATTCTTATCTTTTATCAAATAATGACGACCAAGTGATGAAGGAGTGACTTCACCTTGCCTAAATTACTCTCCTTGTGCATAATTAGGGCATGGATTATAATAAGCATTCACAAGAATAATATCTGTGAATAGAATGATTGCTTTGGTCCATCTTTGATCCTCCATGTGAATGCAATTCTATTCGGTAAATTTAGGGTATAAATTTTAAAATATAATTTATATTATTTTTTAATATAATATTTCAATTAAAAGCTTTTTAACTTGGAAAACTTGTACAAACTTATTCTACATTGTACTGTCAATTAATTTTAATTAAAAAATATTATATTTAAATTCATAATTATTTATTCAGCACAGTTTTGATTGCATGTCTAAGAATTTTTTAATTTAAAAACTTAAATTATTATATAAATACTCAAAATATAATTTATATTATTTTTTAAAAATACTTTCCATGTTTATTTCATTTTTATATTCTAAAGTGGAAAAATAAATTATCATGATTTTTTTAAAATTTATTCTTTATCAATTCTCTCGAATATTTCACCCTATTTATCAATAAAGTCCTTTCATTTTCCTAAGTTAGCAAAACTAGAAAAAATGCCTCTATGTTTCGAAAACTTCAATTCTCCGTCAAAGTGTTTATAGGTTTTTATTTTTTTTAATTAACTCTTGAAGCATGCGTGTGTTTTAGTTTGAAAGCAAATTTCGCTTGACAAAAAACATAAAAATAAATATAACAAATGTAAGATTGGATAAAAAAGAAGAAGCATATTGCACAATAGAAAAAATATCATTAAAAAAAATACATCACATTTAGTATTTTAGTATGATTTGTTCGATTTATTCATATAGACACTCATTTTGTTAACTTGTGAGATAGCGTTTCCATGTCAACATTGTTTATTAGATTTTTTACATAAAAATAGATTAAATTTTTTTTAAGACAAATAAATAGATAGGTAGATAATATAATCATTCATTCTATAACATAATTATCAAAAAACATTAAGTAGGTGATTTTTATTTTATCAATCATTCATTCCGTAATAAAAAGTTTATAAGTAGTATTTTTTTTTTATAAATATATTTAGAGTCTGTTTGTTTTTATATTTTAAATGTGTTTTTTAAAAATTTATTTTTTTTATTTATTTTAAATTAATATATTTTTAATGTTTTTAAATTAGTTTGATATACTGATATCAAAACTAATTTTTAATATATATATATATATATATATTTTAATATAAAAAAATATTTAAAAACAATTATACCCAAACTTTTAAACAATCTCTTAATATGAATTGCACTTTCAATAATCAATACAGAGAAAGTCAAGCATCCATTGATCAAGGACTACGAAGCAGACATACAAACTAAAGAAATGCTGTCAAGATATCAGTCACAACTAATCTGTTGTAAGAATCAAACCTAAGTTTTTTCCTTGGAAATTTCTAAATCAATATATCTTCGTAGATATGCTGACTTTTTCTCATATTTAAAAGCCAAACTTCTCCCATTGACTTGAATGAAGACTATACTATATATTCTACAACTGAGTTTAGATGGTGATTTATACCTTAACTATGACCATGTTTGTTTTCCGGAAAACAATTTTCGGGAAATCACTTTTTAAACTTTTCTGTGTTTATTTGTCATTAGAAAAGTTGGTTAACGAAAAACATTTTCCGGTCAACAAAAAACACTTTCCGGTCAACGGAAAACACTTTCCGGTTAACGAAAATATTTTTTAGTCAAAAAAAATTTTGCTTAATTTTCAGGAAAGTGTTTTCCTTTTTAGCTGTGTTTGTTTTCCGGAAAGTGGTTTCTGGGAAAACATTTTCCAAACTTTCTTGTGTTTGTTTTGCAGAAAGTAATTTCTGGGAAATCACTTTCCAAACTTTCTTGTGTTTGTTTTGCAGAAAGTAATTTCTGGGAAATCACTTTCCAAACTTTCTTGTGTTTGTTTGCTGTTAGGAAAGTTGATAAACGAAAAATACTTTCCAGTTAAAGGAAAATTTGGCTTGATTTTCAGGAAAGTGTTTTCCTAAAAAATTTGGGAGGAAAACACTTTCCGGAAGTTGTGAAAAGTTTAGAAATGTCATTATTTGCTGATTATATCAAATTTGATCCTCAAACTTCTTGGAATTCACTTTAAAAAAAAAACAACTTTCCTGCAAATAAACTGCAAACAAACGGGCCTCTGAGCTCTAAGGTTTTGCAAATTCGAGAAGACTCACCAAAGCTAGAAACAATGACTGCAGAGAAGAAGGTTCGTGTTTAGATCCGATGGACAAGGCAGGAATTCTTGACAAAGAGCGAGATGTACAGAGGTTGGATTTAAAATATTTATGCAGAACTCTCTCTCAACAGCCATGTAAGCAGCAAGAGAAGCAAGGAAACCACCTGTGCCCCTCAGCCTTTTGGGTTGTTCCAGGGGTTTCTGCTGGCTGTGTCTCCTGTTCCAAGTGCTTCTCCGAGGAATGCTTCTTCATCACCTCATTAAAAGAACTTCTTCCTGAGGTAGCGTCCAATCTGAAATGGAGTTTAAAATTAGCTTCAGGTACCTATCAAATAAAGAACAGGCAAACATTGGCTGACCTAGCACGTAGCAGAACTAAGAAATCTAAATGGACTAACAATGCATGATAGGAAAAGGGTAAGTTGTATTTATAGAAATCCAGAGTTCCAAATTTATTTGAAAAAAATGTAACCTTTCTTATTAGTCCTACAGTTAGTGGATCACTGTCAGAGGAGACAGACAGCAGGCAGGGAAAGAAACGCATAATTTATGTCAAAAATCAACATAAGATGGTATGTTATGGAGAAATTTAGCTGAACAACAATCTCACTAATTCTAAATGCAAGCCTACAAGAATTGTAGACTTATTCCCACGCACTCGTATGAAAAGGCAAAGAGAATGATAATCAAAGTTTCATAACAACAGAAGCAAGCAATCAGATCAAAATTCAAATTGGAACAGTAAGGACATAGTGGTGATATGCATGCATTTGACTACCCATTCCTGCACGGATAGATGCTTCAAACGAAAACCATTTTATTCCGCGTGGATAGATTGCCAGGTAACTTACAACGGGAACTGAAATGATCTGTTACTGCTGGAGAAGGAAACTCGAATCTCCTCAACAAGATGCATCTCTTCCTGACAAATAATTTTCTCTGTTGCATCCAGAACCTCCTTTGTCGGTCTGATCTCAGCTGTTGATTCAGGTTCCTCTTCAGAATCAGTTGATTCTTCTTCCTTCACTTTTATGTCTATTGATATATCTTCACTCTTTCTATCGTTGTTCTCTACTTCAATGACAGGGCTCAAACTGGTTGAAGCATTGCCTGTCTCATCAAACCTGGGGAGTTCTCCTGATTTATACAACATGAAAGCATGATCTCTTGAGAAGCTACCATTCCCCATGTAGATACTGAACAATGAATCATTAGAAGCAACGCTCCATTCTGCAGGATTACTAGGCTTAGCAAAAATGGATGATGGGATCCTATTTGGATCGTACCCTCCAGGCTGTCCCATCACATGCAGTTGAGGTGATGTTGGGGGCAATACTTGTGTGTTGATAACAGGAATGTGGCTGGGAACTTCTGCTCGAAATACTGGTCCTTGTGATGATTCAACAACTGCTGGAAATATCGGTCCTTGTGCTGACCCTACATCTGCTTGTTTTGATTGGATAAAGGGACTGACAGGAATATCATTTTCAAGCTCACTAGATCTTGATGAAGAATCGGATGCCGAAGAACGTGAACTTTCGAGAGCAAGAATAGGTTTTTCGTCAGTCATAACCTCATAAGTTTTCAAACGCTCGCTACTTCCTTCAAAATCTAGTAATTTCCTCCCCCACCTTCACCAGCTATATGGTATTACTTGTCTGATCACACTACTTGAAATTAAGCTCCCTATGCTGCCTAGGAATAGGAATTCAAGCTGCAAATCAAGAAGGAAACCATCCATATCAAATTACAGCATATTCAACTCTCGTAGCAGAACTTTCAGAGGTTACAATTTCCAGTTTCAGAATCAGAATGAATGTATAAACAAAAGCTGTATCAAAACTAGTCCCTTTGTATTAATCAATCAACGTAACAGAAGAAAAGGGCCATAATCCGATTACAGGAGAATTCAGTAGAATCCTGAGAACTTAAACACAAATCAATACATGGGCAATAACTATTCAATCAATAAATGGGCATAATTATCCAATCAATGGCCTATAAAATTAGAAATTTGTCGCATTAACAATATAAAACTTCTTGAATACAAATACCTGTCAGGCACAATAAATTGGAAAAAAATGATATTTCTTCCCCTGAAGCTTCCTTGAAATTTTTTTATTTCAATGCAAAAAATCTGTTCCATGTCAATGCTGAGCTCTTACAATTAGTAGATATTGAACAACTAGGTTCTGGAAAAAACATTAAAGAAGAAGAAGAAGAACAGAAAAAAATACAAACATAAGCATCAAACTCAAAGAGAAAAAAGAAGAAAAAACGAACTTACCTGAATCTATCGATCACAATGTGATATGATAACCCAAAATCTTGAAATGTCTCACAGAATAATTGATTTGAGGTAGAAAAGGATCAAGAAAGAGTTGAGACAGGGAAACGAGGGAAAGTGCAGGGTTTACGTGTGGGTAAGGACAGAAAGGAAGGATGAGAGAAAATTTCGGCAATTAACTGATTCTTTTGTCTTCATTTTAAAGACTACACATATACGCTGGAAGACAGAAGTTGGTTATGACAACATGTGCTTTGAGGTTTTAACTAACTGTTTTTTGACCTCAACAGATCTATTCAGTTGTACGGACCGTACATCCTTTCGAGATATTTCTAAAAATTAGAATATTTAAAAAAAAAATTAACAAAAAAACAGATAAATCACATATTTTCATATTATTGCATTTTTAAAATGTAATAAAGTAAAATTCCACTCATCTGGCTTATCAATTGATTAATTAGATCCGGTTACAAGAATTAATCAATTGTTTCACATAAAAATCATAAGTTCAAAAGCTTTTTCTTTCAAGTATATTTATAAGTCTAAATATAAATATTTTTTCAACTCGTAGATTCAATAACAAACTCATAAAAATATTAAAAAATTATAGTTCATATAATAATTATTTTTTATTTTTTAATATCAATGTTATAGTTAAATATATAACAATGCGTGATTCCAATAAATTAATTGTGGGTTTGTTAAACTAAATGAAGATTTATCTTAAACAAATTATATAGATAGCCTAATAAATATATTTTATGAATTAATGCGATAGGTTTAAATAAAAAAAAATAGTTGCACCAAATCAAAATAATAATTCAAAAGGTCATAAAATTTAATCTGATTATTAAATTATACTTAATATTTACAGAAATTTTCAGAGATTATTTTCTTTATAGTAGCCATCATATCATCATGGGATTGTCAAATCTTTAGATATCTAAAATTTTACTGGATCCCTTGAATTCGATGCTTTTAATATTTTCCTTTTATTTTCAAAACTATTGAACTAGTTTTACTAATTATTATGAAATATTCAATCAAATGAGTCAGATAATTGGAATTTCATCTTATCATATTTTAAGAGCATGATGTTTATTAAATATTATTATTTTGAAGCACGGCAAGATTATAATGTGGTATTTCTCCAAAATTGTTAGATCCTACCAATTATTTTGATTTTATGTGATAATTTCCTAATTTGTCCTCCAGTTTTTTGTTTCTGGATTTTGCAAGTCTGTCCCTACAATATTGTTGGGTATAATTAATGTACTATACTTTTTTTTCATCCCTAGCCATGTCTTTGGGACACTTTATTTGGAAATCGAGAATAAATATCTTCTCGCAATAATTTTAATATGTACATTTATGAATTTAATAACTTTTTCTAAATTATATACTAAAGATTTGAATCTAAGAAATTAAAGAATTAAAACATCTCACGTCAACCCCATAAGATTTACAATACACTTCTAAGATTTCATAATTTTGTTTTTAAGAATGTATTTCAATTTAGATTAAAGTTTATCAATATTGATCTGGAGCTTAATAAAAAAGAATTTCATTTTGGACCCAGAAGCCCATTGATTTGCCTAAGTCCTTGTAGGCTTCGGTCCTTTTTTTTTTTTTTTTTGAGAAATCAGATGTAGCCCATGATTCATGATCATTATGTCTAGAAGTAAGTTCAGGCAAAATTTCTTATAGTGTTCAAATTGATTATTTCAAACAAGGGTGTGTGTGTGTGTGTCGTTCATGTGCAAACTAGGTTCGGTCACCTTACTATTCAAGGTTCAAATTCTAAAGAGGTGTAGGGAAAATATGCCTAAATTAGTGAAGAAAAGAAAAGTATATGCATTATGGAGCATGAAGCTATGTTATATGATAATTGATCTATTCATGCATTCAATTTCCTTGACGAGGGAAGACTGTTTGCCATGTAGTAAGTGTTGGAAATTTGTTTAATTAGCATGATTTAAATAAATAATGGGTGAATGAAAAATTAATTTTAAAAAACTCTTGATATTTTTAATTAAAACACCCTTAGTTATTTTTTTAGATTTAATTATTGATTTATGATGGCTAATCAAAAGCCAATAATGATGAGAATTAATTATTCAATATTTTACCTTTTAAAATTCAATATAAAAAAGGGGCGAAAAAAGAATATCCAACTTTATTTTTTTGAAATTTAATTTTACATACTCTTCCTCACCTCATATTTTAATGTTTTCTTTTTATTTTAAACTTTGATTTCCCACCCAAATCTAAAGCTTAGGTTCATCTCTTGTTTAGAGATACTTGAGTTTAATATTATTTAGTTCAAATATATTGTTTAAAAGTACATCTAAACTAAAGTGTTGTTGTTGAAATTTTAAAAAATATATTACAAACATTCTAGCTGTAATGGAGGAACAATAAAGTCTTAAGAATAAAGAATTTATCATTAACGACAATAAAATTTTTATTATTTTAAAGTATTTCAACAAGTAAGTACACCTTTTTATTTTAATTTAAATATAAATATTTTTTAGTACTAGAATGCATGGTAGAACTTTGAATTAATATCAATTTTAAGTTCAATTATATGTTAAGTATGCATGTTAGAATTTTTTTTATTACATTTATGTTGAAAACATGTTTTTCATGAGTTATACTTTTGCACTCTTATAATTTTAAGCATGTATAAATTATAGGTTTTTGTTGGACATCTTTTGTTTAGCATCTTTTTGGGATGATAAACTAAATATCTTTACTCACTAGTATAATATATTTACAAACTTTGATTTAAAATCTTTGGGCTTTATTTTTATATTAGACTTTATTTACTTTATCTTGTGAGGAAAAAATATTAATAATAAAAATAATAATATAGATTAATTGTAAAAGAAGTTTTTAGCATTTTAAAAATTTAAGTTATAATTTAACTTTCTTTAATCTTCTATATTCTCACATTTAGATTTAATTTTGTTTCTATATGTGTTAATCTATAACCTCTTGGTTTGTTATGACTTTTTTCTTCTCCTTTGTTTAATTTTAGAAGGTTGTTATATATCTTTGTTTTAAGATTATAGTTTATTTTCTAAAACTGTTTTTCATGCATTTTGAATGTTTTTAGACATGCGCTATATTATTGATTTATATTTTCTAATAACTGAATTATTAATAAGATTGGTATCATAGTTATTGGTTGGTTTTGTTATGTATATGTCACTATTTATATATACAGAAAGTTAGTGCGATGAATAGATATGATGTAGAAAGTTCTATTTAGGAAGATTGAATTTTAAGCAAGATTTTATGTTAACCCTACAATCTTTCCTCAAAACTTACATAGTGAAAATATTATTCACATGATACTATTTTTATATATAATATAGTTCATAAGTGAAATCAAAATAATGGAATAAATCACAATGAATAAAATAGGACTCAACAAAATAACCCAAAAAAACAATGAGTGTTGATTTTAACCTTGTATAGTTTAATTATATTTATTTATTAAGTTGCATTATTAGAAATTTTTATTTTTTTTCTTATTATGGAGCCAAAACATTTATTTATAAATATTATTAGTTGTTTTTTATATAGATCATATTATGTCCTCCACTCCTTTTACTCAAGTTTAGTAGTGTAAACCAATGTTGCTTCGACAAGTATTACTTTGGTAGTGAAAATTTCACTATCACCTTTTATAGTATATGGTGAGAAACCTGAAAACTTTAATGGATTGAACTTTAAGACATGAGAATAAAAGATGTTATTATATTTGACCACTTTGAACTTGAAAAACTTCTTAAACTAGGAAGCTCCAAAACCATTAGAAAATTAATCTGACCTTAATAACATGGTGGTTTTGGATGCATGGAATCATATTAATTTCGTGTGTAAGAACTATATCTTAAATGGGTTGGATAATAAACTTTATGATATGTATAGTTCAATTAAGAATGCAAAAGAATTATAAGAAGCTTTAGATAAAAAGTACAAAGTTGAAGATATTGATATAAAAAAATTCATAATCAGTAAATTTATAGATTTTAAGATGATTGATTAAAGAACCATAATAAGTTAAGTTCAAGAGTTTCAACTCATCTTGTATGATATACATGTTAAAGGGAAGTCTTTTAGTGAGTCATTGCAAGTAGATGCAATCATTGAAAAATTTTCACCATCTTGAAAAGACTTTAAAAATTATCTTAAGAATAAGTGCAATAAAGTGGAAATTAAAGACTTTATTTTAAGGTTAAGGATATATGAGAAAAATCAGCTGTTTGAAAAAA